TGGCCTCCCCTGAAGGGGGATCCAGATTGGGGTGGGGGTCCCCACTGGGGGTGGGGCAGGCCTGAGAGAGGGGCCATGGGCAGTTTGCAGGCTGGCCACACCCCTGGCTTTGTCAGAAAGGACGTCCTAAGAGGTCCAGTCTATCCTGTCTAATTAACATATTACCCTTTTATTAGTATAGATATTTTTTATCTCAGTATGAATTTATATATATATACTTACTTTATACTCCAGTACTGCTTTATTTCATTGCTCCAAATATTCCACTTTTTGCAATTTGGAGCTCTTTCAGGTAGATTTCTGTGTCCCTTTGACATAACGCTGTCCTTTTGTTGTTTATTTTTTAGCATTTCCTTACATTCTGGTACTACAAGATGCTTCACCTTAGACTCACTGATAGGTAGTTTCTTGTGGAAGTCCTAGCAAATGAATATACATTATATTTATTTTTTTTAATCACTTTGAAATTAGCAGCCTTGTGTGGGAGAAATATTCATGCTATTATCTATTAGCATCAATAATAGAATGAAATGATGGTGACAAATAGTAGGGGGAAATGTATAAATGGTGCGAAGACATCAAACAAGGGAATCGGATCCCATCTGAGTTAGTATGAGGGAAGAAAGGAGTAGCAAGTAAGTTTTCACTGAGGAAGTAACATTTGAGCCGAGAGCTGAGATACCAGAGGCCAGAGCACAGGTGACAAGGGTGGAGAATCCAAGGTGAGGGTGGAGAGGTAGGCGAGTATATTCCCAAAGAGAGATCTTCTCTGGTCAGTAACATATTGATTCACATATCAGTAATGATTCTCTTAAGCAGTGGCTTTCAAATTGTGCTCCCAGAATCCTCGATGTACACCATTGCCAGGGCCTGGCTCTGGGAAGCCGCACCCACCTCAACCTGAGCATTCACCTGAACGACTCTACTTTAGCCCTGCTGGGGCGGCTCAATTGGTTAGAGCATCTTCCCAATTAGCCAAGGCTGTGGGTTTGATCCCCAGTCAGGGCACATACAAGAAGCAAAGAAGCAATCAATGAATGCATGAATAAATGGGACAGCAAATCCAGGACACACACTCTCTCTCTCTCTCTCTCTCTCTCTCTCTCTCTCTCTCTCTCTCTCTCTCTCTCTCTCTCTCTCTCTCTCTCTCGCTGTCTCTCTCGCTGTCTCTCTCGCTGTCTCTCTCTCTCAATCAATTTAAAAACTATTTTTTTAAAAGAAAAGACTGCTTTTATTGTGAAGCTTCTCTTAAAATTTTACGTAAAAGGTTCTAACCAGAAATATTTCAAAAACTACTCTTCTGCAATATGTTTTTCATGTTCTACAACAGGATATACACTCATCCATTATATAGGTGTGTTTTACTTTATTTTTCATCCCCCATAGCTGAATATTTAAGTTGGTTTTGATGTTTCACTAACATACAACTCTAACAAGCTTCTCTATTCAGAAATTTGTATGCATATATAACTTCTTTGTACAGTATAACTGGTTCTTTCCTCAGAATTATTTCCACGTACAGCTGACCTCCATTTCTAAGAGTGGATCAAAGTTGTATTAGTTACAATGCTGCACATATACCTCCCTGAAATGTAGTGGCATAAAGTAGAAATAATTCTTTATTATTGGGTCAGGAGTCCAGGAGTGGCTAGGCAGGGTCTTGCGTGTGGTTGTTGTCAGTTGTTGGCTAAGGTTGGAGTCATCTGAAGGCCTGGCCTACTCCATAGTGGCTCAAGCACACGGCTGGTGATGTGTGCTTGTTATGGAGAGGGAGGCTTTTGTTCCTCTCCACCCGGATCTCTCTACAGGGCCGAGTATCCTCACACATGGCAGCCAACTTTCTCAGCTGACAAAACACTTAGGAAGCCTGACCAAAGTTGCAATGCCTTTTACCGCACAAAGGAAATCACATACTGCTACTTCCATCATTTTCTGTTGGTCACTGTGGTAAGCAGAATAATGACCCCTTAAAGATGACCTAAGAAAACGGAACTAGGTAGTGAAGACGTTATCTTTCATGGCAAAAGGAATGTTACTGCAGACATTATTAAATTAGGATTTTGAAATGAGCAGATTACTTGCATTATCCAGTTGGGTCCAATGTAATCACAAGGGTCCTTATGAATAAAACAAAGAGGCAAGAGAATTATTGTAGAATCAGAGAAGGTAATGTTTCTACAGAAGCAGATGCTGGAGTGATGTGATTGGTGACGGGGCCTGAGCCAAGGAATGTAGGCGGCCTCTAGAATAGGGAAAAGCTGAGGAAAGAATTTCTCCCTTAGAGCTCCCTGCTGACACTTTGATATTAGCCTGGTGTGATCTATTTTGAGTTTCTGATTTCCAAACCTCTAAGATAATAGATATGTGTTGTTTTAAGCCACTAGATCTGTAGTGATTTTACAGCAGCAAAACTATGCTAATACAGCCTCACATCCATGATTCATTGTGGGAGGGGACTACACAAAAGAATGCATACCACCGGGTCATTAGGGTCATTTAGAGCCATCTTAGATGTTACAAAGGGTATGCCTACTTTTAAGGTCTATATTGTCAAATTGTCCCTTAGGAAGAGCCTATGAATCTCTGCAACCAGAAATTTAGATAAATACAGATTCCGTGAAATCAGAGATGATACTACTATAGGCAATTAGACAGACCTTAGCAGAGCAAGAACGATGGGCTAGGTACAGAAACTCACCAGGGCCAAAAGCCCCAGAGGCCTAGCACGGGGCAAAACTGGGAAAACAAGAACCTCACCCCTAGGGTAACCTAGCATATCACTGATCATGTGGTTTGGACCCCTGGCTTTTCATGTTGCTGGTCATGCGGTTTAGACCCCCTGACCTTTTCCTCCCAAAGATAACATCTAGGCCTCAGTTGTATTTCAGCTCCAGGCCCGGAAAAGCAGCAAAATCAGGTAAGTAACGCCATGGCTGCTTCAGGACCAGCTGCATTGACTAATGACCCCCTGCTTTGGCACTGGCCAATCAGTAGTGGCCAGAACCCTGAGAGAGCACACCTGGAAAGCTGATGAATATTCTATTGAGACCTCCCCAGAGACCGCCCCTAAGGTTTCCACCAGAGAGGGAGAAATACGCTCAGGATGAAGGACCCAGCCACTTTCTGCCCTGGAGAACACCTACGCCTTTCCCTTTCCCGTTCTTTCTTCCTTTTAAGGGACCACTTGCAACCAGGGGGCAGACTTGCAATCAGGGGCTGGCAGCTCATCCCAGGCTAAGCCCCTTTCCTCTGACTTCCCAGTGAGCCAAAGCAGCCCAGCCTAGGCTTTCCTTACTTCTTCTATGTACCTTCCTTGTTTCATGGTCGTAAGTATGTTTTTGCTGTGGCCAATAAATTCTTACTTTGCTACCCTTTGTCTCTTGATTGAAACCTTTCCTTCAAGAAGAGAAGAGCTGAGGTATTGTCATTTTGTCGGAAATAGTGTCTTTCAAATGATCAATCTTTCTAGCTCATGAATCTTCTTGTGGAGGAGAGTATAATGGGGGGAAATGGGTTATTTAATTGTCTAGGTACCTTGCTTTCTGACACAGTGGAAGAGTAGGTAGCAAATGGGAGATTTATAGCTGGTGTACTTATCTCTGCTGCTTGAGGCCATTTCCCCTCTACCAATTTATTCTGATCAATAGGAGTAAATTCCTAGTTGCGATTCTACAAATATATTTTCACCTGGTAGCATTTAAGAATCATGTCAGACTTTAAAGCCATGAGATTCTTAAATATAGCTGAATTTAAAAAAAAAAAAGTATTATTCTGAGATTTGTCTCTCAAGCAAGTGAACATTTCCAACAAGAGGAGCTTAAGATAAAGATAGGTGTGTTTAAGAGGAGACAAGGTTATTTCCACAGAAGCTAACTGAGCTAAGTCTCTGCTGGGGAAAATTTAAAAATGCTTACCTCTGGGCTGGTGGCTTGGTTCAGTGGTTGAACATTGACCTATCAACCAGGAGGTCATGGTTTGATTCCCAGTCAGAGCATATGCCCTGACTTTGGTTGTGGGCTGAATTCCCAGTGTGGGGTTCAGGGGTGGCTGGGGAGGGGATACAGTGTGAGGTGTATAGCCAATCAATGATTTCCTTTCATCATTGATGTTTTTCTCCCTCCCTCCCTCTCTGGAATGAAAAAATTTGTGAATGAGGAAAGATTTATTCTTCCTAAAGAGTATCTACTGCCCAACAGAGAAATGCTGAGCAGGGGTCTTTCTCATTTTGGAAGTTACTTTTTTTTTTCTGGAAGACATAAAATGCTTTAAAATTAATTAAACCAAAAATGGAAATATGCCAGTAAACAGATGCTATTTCCAATAAGATCCCTCCTGTGCTTTCTTAGGCTTTCCCCAATAAACTCATACAATTCCTGTCAGAGGTGACTGAGAGACCATGGAGTTCTCTTTATTTTACAAATGAGGGATCTGAGGTCTAGAAGCTTGATCTGCCATGAGAACTCAGAATATGTGATGAGTACCGGACCAAGTAACAGATTGAAAAAGAATATTTTTATTTATCATTCCATAGACTTTGAGGTTCTTTTTACTTTTTATATTTTCTCTCTTCCCTTGAAATCTATACTATAGGGGTATAAATGAAATAAAATTGGATAGATAATTGATGAAGCTGATTAATGGGTATATGGAGATCTATTATATAATACTCTCTATTTCAGTATATGTTTGGAATGTTCTATAAAAAGTGTAAGACAGCAATCTTACAGACAAGTTTACTATTGGACAAATAAATATACAAAAGACAATTGGATAAGTGGGCAGGTCTCAGAATTTCCCTGCAGTTGTTGACTCAACAGTGTAAAATGGACAAGGGACATAATGTGGGAAGCCCAGAGTTCAATGTGAGGACCCTCTGTCAGCAAATGGCCGTTATACTCTTATTATTCATAAAATTCGGTTAACACTAGGAAGTCCATCTCGGCAAGTATGGGATTCACACCAAATAAATCTTTCTTCTCGGGGTCCACAACTACTCAGCAAATTAAAAAGAGGCACTTTCCCCCAGGTGGAGGCTGCCCCAGGCCAATTTGGTAAAGCTTGGTGGGCAGGGTGGTTTCCGTGCCTACTTGTCCCTGGGCCCAGGGCTTGTCTTTAATGACTCACCTGCAGCAGAGAAATGAGAAATTATTCTGGTGTAGGCTGCTAATTTTTTTTTTGCAGAAATGACATCCTTTTAAACCTGAGAAGTTGTGATGGTTAATTTTATGTGTCAGCTCAACTGGATCATGGAGTACCCAGTTATTTGGCTGAACACGATTTCAAGGTGTGTCTGTGACTGTTTCTGGATGAGATTAACAATTGAATCTGTAGACTAAGTAAAGCAGATTGTCTCCCTAATGTAGAAGGAAGAATTCCCTCTCTCTCTCTCTCTCTCTCTCTCTCTCTCTCTCTCTCTCTCTCTCTCTCTTCTCTCTCTCTCTCTCAATCTCTCCCCCCCCCCCCCCCCCCCGCCCTGAGTGAATGAACTAGGACATCAATGTTCTGTTGCTCTCAGACTGGACCTCCATCATCACGGATGCTCCTGATAGAGCTTGGCAAGCAGAGCACCTGCTGCTTCTCAGGCTTTCAGACTGGGAATGGAACTACACCAACAGGCTCTCCTAGGACTCAGCTTGCAGATGGCAGGTTTTGGGACTTCTCAGCCTTCCTAATCATGTGAGTATATTCCTTATAATAAATCATTCATATATATCCATCTGCCAGTCTTCCCATTCTCTTTGTTTCAGGCCACATGTCTACAATGTACCTTCATGTGCCTAAAGCTCCTCTGGGAATCCCATGTAGTCATCGCCATCCTGGAAGGGATGTTTTCTAAGGGAGGGTCAAGGAGCAGAATTTTTTATTTAGTCACTTTAAAAATAGATCATATTCCAGAAACTATTAAGAGTTCCTACACAGCCAAAACCAGTTTGGCTCAGTGGATAGAGCGTCAGCCTGCGGACTGAAAGGTCCCAGGTTCCATTCCGGTCAGGGGCATGTACCTTGGTTGTGGGAACATCCCCAGTAGGAGGTGTGCAAGAGGCAGCTGATCGATATTTCTCTCTCATCAATGTTTCTAACTCTCTATCCCTCTCTCTTCCTCTCTGTAAAAAAATCAATAAAATATATATATATATTTTTTTTAAAAAAGAGTTTCTACACATTTTAAATTAAGAGATTTCAAACTATTAAAGAATACAGATTTCATTAAAACTTTATTTATATATTTGATTTGTATTCATCCATTTATTGAGTGCCAGGTACTGAACTAAGTGCTGTGGAGAAAACAGGGGAGCTTAAGATATTGTCCACGCAATCAAGGTTCTCAGAGCTTAAAAACAAAAGTAGGCAAATACAAACATATTTGATACAAGATACAGTGGCCTAATAAGCAAGTTCCAAGTACTATAGCTGTTCAGATAAAGGAGAAATCTCTTCCTGTAGTAGGACCTAAGAAAGTTTGATGCAAATGACTTTTTAAAAATATTTTAATTGATTTTTTTACCGAGAGGAAGAGAGAGGGATAGAGAGTTAGAAACATCGATGAGAGAGAAATATTGATCAGCTGCCTCTTGCACACTCCCTATGGAAATGTGCCTGCAACCAAGGTACATGCCTTGACCGGAATCGAACCTGGGACCCTTGAGTCCTCAGGCCAGTGCTCAATCCATTGAGCCAAACTGGTCAGGGTGATGGAAATTACTTTTGAACTAAAATTGGAGAATGAAGAATGAATTGGATGACAATGTGATGGGGAGAGAATTGCAAAGCACACACAGTATTGGGGGTGGATAAGTGGTCTGATTTAACTGAAGCATAGGTTATAATGATGAAAATGATAATGAGAAAATTGTTTACTGAGTACCTACTATGTGCATGCATTGTTTCTAATCTACAAATCCTACCAGACAGGCATCATTATTCCCTTTACCAATGAAAAGATCTTCATCTTAAAGTTAAATAACTTGCCCATAGTTACTTAGCTGTTAGTGGTCTGTGCTGGGAATCCAATGGAGTTTTAGCTGACTCACAAGCCAGTGTTCTTTCTACTGTCCTACTACTATCCTGAACTTGTCTATGTGGAGGAGAAATGGGGAATATTTCAATTATGCAGTGGGTTGTATAGCGTAAGAGAAAGGAAGCAGAGGCACAAAAAGCATATGCTTGGATTGAAGATGACTTGTTAGATGGTGTTTCTCTGGTAAAGGAATGCTCATAGCTAAGTGACACTATAAGAAATAATGATGATAACAGTAAGTAGGTGCCATTTACTGAATGTCAAAAATAGGCCAAAATTATATAATCTCTGATGCTTACAACTATATGAAGCATATGTGGTTTGTTACCTGATGTAGTGGAAAGAGCCGAAGTGTTCAGCCAAACAGAACTGGGTTCAGGCCCTGCCTCTTCCCCTTTCTAGTTATTGAGCTCTAGGCAGGTTCTTCACTATTTATGAGCCTCAACATCATCTACTATAAAATGGGCTATGTACATATATCATAGAGTTCTTGTGCATGTAAGGAAAAAATTTTAAACAACTTAGAATGCATTCTATAACAAAAGCAGAAGAATTGGGTAATAAAAATAAAATTATAATAGATAGGCAAGGGTATCTCTAAAGATGTCTAAATGACAAACATAATAGTATGACGAAAATATGAATAATCATAGTATCAAAATTGAACCTACCATAATAAAGGTTTTTCTTACCTTTATAAAAAGAATTATGTGCCAGGACAGGCAACCGAGGATATGAGTGTGAATTTAAATAGTCTAAGAGGGTTTATAGCAGTATAAATAATAGGAAAATATACCTAAAATTATTGATTGTAGAATCTCTTAAAAAATACAGTTCATTCTTACTTATATTGAAATATGCTTTTGCATTCATTCTATTAATGCAGTACTGCCTGAATTTTTAATGACAGTTTTTAATTCTTTTTTTTTTTTCTTAAAAAATTCAATACACCAAAAGTAGGTCATGCTGTGCATAGATTTCTTTTCCTAGCATGATGTGTGCTTACATAGGAGACTGAGAATTGAATCTTCTGAATGAAAAATGGATGATTTTGACATTTATTTTGAACACCAGAAATATTATAAATATATTTATTGAAAGTCTTGCTGTGGTTGTTTTGAATGTAATAGTCTTGCAACAAAACAAAACAAAACAAAAACCCACTTGTCTAGAAAGCTTTGTTTTTAATAGACTCTTCTAATTCAGACTCTTGTGTGGAAACCTCCCAGAGGGAAATCCTGTAATTGGTGGAAGCAGGGAGGGGTGTACAGCATCCCAGATAATTTCACCTTACGGAAGCCCTACCTCCTAATGTTTTTATTGATCGCTTATCCTATCCTGGAACACTGGACCTTGATGAACTTATAAAAAACAAACAAACAAAAAACAAAACAAAACAAAAAAAACCACACCAAACAATGAAAACATTTGAAACAACTTTTAAGCATAAACAATTGGCAGAATCTTTAAGAATGTATGTAAATCTCATAAAGCTTCAAAAAACTATGTACTCCTGGAACATATTGTGAAGAACTCTACTGAACTATCAAGTTACCAGATTTGTAAAGCAGGGGGGAAAGGCCAAAATTGCAGAAGTATTTTTTCAAAAGGGTTAATTTCAGCACACTAGGTACCGTAAGACGCACCGGACCATAAGACGCACCAGTTTTTAGAGAAGGGAAATGAAGAAAAAAAGATTCTGAAACAAATAGTGTCCTAAAATATTTTATGTGCATTAAAACCCAACATCACAGTCATAAACACATGTAATCAACCCTGTAAAGTAGGGGTGTCGAGCTCAACCAGAGAAGGGGCCAAAATCTAAAATCCAGCCTAAATCGCGGGCCGAATGGTTTACTGAACAGTCATAAACTGTCATTGTGATGGAAACGCAGCGGAGTGCAGTGATGACAGCGCGGTGCGGGCCACATTGCAAGGCCTGGCGGGACGGATTTGGCCTGCGGGCCTTGTGTTTGACACATGTGCTGTAAAGTAAACAGCAGCATTTAGAACCATTTTAGAGCCGGGCAAGCACAAAGAGACCACACAGAGCCGTGCAAGTAAAAAAACTTTTTTTTTTAAAGTATATGTGTAGGCTATATTTGGACCATAAGACGCAGGGACTTTTTCCCCCCACTTCTGGGGGGAAAAAAGTGCGTCTTATGGTCCGAAAAATACGGTATATTGTTGAAAAATAAGTATATCCTACAAAGCATTTCCTCAGTCTTTCTCTGGAGTAACCTATGACAAGGTATAGTTTTAAATGTTGAATAAATGTTTGCAATAAACTGATTAGTCTATTTTTACCCTGCAATCTAAAGCTGGCTAATTTGATTCAACATAGACACATATAAATGGTATAATATCATTTATTGCTCTTGTATTCATTGTTCTTATATTAGTATTCAGGTATTTCCAAGTCTTTAAAAATATATATACATCTTAACCATAGAATTTATCCTATTTGATGAATTTGCCCTGTTAGTAGTCATAAATTAAGATGCTCTAAATGTGCAAAAATGGTTGCAGTAACATTATTTACAACAGTAAAGATATTGGAAAAATCCTAAGTATCTAATAATACGAGAGTGTTTATATACTTTAGATTCATAAGTTGAAATATTATGCAGCCATAAAAAATGGGCTTTTTAATGATAGTTAACAATTTCAGGAAATTCTTAGAGTTTGATATATGGATTATAATTAAAACTAGAGGCCTGATGCACGAATTCATGCACAGGTGGATACCCTAGTCCTGACCGGCGATCAGGGCAGATCGGGGCCAGGCTGATCGGGGAAGGGACAGGGGTGGGACTGCCAGGGATTGGCCAGCTAGGGGGAAGGACTGAGAGAGGTTGGCTGCTGACCCTGAGGAGGAGCCAGCCCTTGTCCCCTCTCTGGGAAAGGGCCACGTCCAGTCCAGGGCCCAAAAGCCCCAGGGGGAGAGGAGGTGATGGTCGATGGGCCAGGCACAGAGGAAATGGATGCAGGACTCCAATTCCGCCATCGGCACCCTGCCACTGCACAGTTACCCACTTACCCTCTTCTCCTTCTCTCATTACTGCACGGCCACTGTGGTGGGTGGGTGGCCCCTGGGGAAGGGAGAGGACAGGAACAAGACAAACACTTGTGTTGAGGGCTGACTTTCAAAAGATTATAGCAAGGGAGCTGCTCAGCTATATATAAAACCCTGACCCAGAAGCGGGTTGTCTACAAATAGTTTAGCACCAGGGGTCAATGGGGGCTGATCAGCCAGGGGAGGGACCACGGGCAGTTGGCTGGCTGCGGGAGCACACTGACCACCAGGGGGCAAATCCTGCATTGAATATCTGCCCCCTGATATTCAGTGTGTGTCATAGCGACTGGTCAATTGGTCGTTCCAGTCATTCTGGTCATTTAGTAGTAATGGTCACTTAAGCTTTTATATATATATATATATATATATATATATATATATGATTGTAAATACAGTATCTGACCAAATTGTAAATGTGCCAAAATACATTTGCAACAAGATTATTGGAAGAAATACATCAAACTACTATTATAACTGCCTACTTGGGGATATTGGGATTTTGAGTAATTTGGTTTTTTCCTCATTCACTCACTCTCTGATTCATTCATTCATTCATTCACTCATATAGCAAGTCTTCATTGA